GCAAGATATGATCGCATAAAATTCTACACCAGTTCAGAGTGAAATCAGAAACATTTGTCAATATATGGTTAATCTGTAACTTTTAATTAATGCATTGTAAATTAGGTTGGAACAATAGCTTTAGATCTCCGATCTATCAATCCAACGAGATATAATACGCTCCAAACGAATAAACACACAGCAAGATATGAGTGTCACCAATACTTAGCCTTATCTCTATGATTTATTTGTGAATATATGGTTAATCTTTAACTTTTAATTAATGCATTGTAAATGAAGTTGGAAAAATATCTTTAGAGCTCCGATCTATATTTCCAATGAGATATAATACGCTCCAAACGGATAAACACACAGCAAGATATGAGTGTCACAAATAATTAGCCTTATCTCTATTATTTAGCGTTTTCAGCGAAAATAGAGCACTTTTATCGTAAATACAGTGTATTTTAGTAATTAGGCAATTATCCATTGATATTTTGAAACCAGAGCCTGAAGAAAAGTTTGAGAACTCGGTAAGATGTTTCCAACGAGATATTAAACGCTTTCAACGGCACCAAATAGAGAAAGATATGATCGCATCAAATTCTACACGAGTTCGGAGAGAAATCAGAAACATTTGTGAATATATGGTTAATCTGTAACTTTTAATTAATGCATTGTAAATGAAGTTGGAACAATAGCCTTAGAGCTCTGATCTATCTTTCTAACGTGATGTAATACGCTCCAAACGGATAAACACACAGCAAGATATGAGTGTCACAAATACTTAGCCTTATCTCTATGATTTAGCGTTTTCAGCGAAAATAGAGCACTTTTAGCGTAAATACTGTGTATTTTAGTAATTAGGCAATCATCCCTTGATATTTTGAAACCAGCACCTGAAGACATGTTTTAGAACTCGATAATATCTTTCCAACGAGATATTAAACGCTTTCAACGGCACAAAATAGAGCAAGATATGATCGCATCAAATTCTACACGAGTTCGGAGTGAAATCAGAAACATTTGTGAATATATGGTTAATCTGTAACTTTTAATTAATGCGTTGTAAATGAAGTTGGAACAATAGCCTTAGATCTCTGATCTATCTTTCTAACGAGATGTAATACGCTCCAAACGGATAAACACACAGCAAGATATGAGTGTCACAAATACTTAGCCTTATCTCTATGATTTAGCGTTTTCAGCGAAAATAGAGCACTTTTAGCGTAAATACTGTGTATTTTAGTAATTAGGCAATCATCCCTTAATAATTTGAAACCAGCACCTGAAGACATGTTTTAGAACTCGATAATATCTTTCCAACGAGATATTAAACGCTTTCAACGGCACAAAATAGAGCAAGATATGATCGCATCAAATTTTACACGAGTTCGGAGTGAAATCAGAAACATTTGTAAATATATGGTTAATCTGTAACTTTTAATTAATGCATTGTAAATGTAGTTGGAACAATAGCTTTAGACCTCCGATCTATCTTTTCAACTACATATAATACGCTCCAAACGGATAAACACACAGCAAGATATGAGTGTCACAAATACTTAGCCTTATCTCTATGATTTAGCGTTTTCAGCGAAAATACAGCACTTTTAGCGTAAATACTGTGTATTTTAGTAATTAAGCAATCATCCCTTGATATTTTGAAACCAGCGCCTGAAGACATGTTTTAGAACTCGATAATATCTTTCCAACGAGATATTAAACGCTTTCAACGGCACAAAATAGAGCAAGATATGATCGCATCAAATTCTACACCAGTTCGGAGTGAAATCAGAAACATTTGTCAATATATGGTTAATCTGTAACTTTTAATTAATGCATTGTAAATTAGGTTGGAACAATAGCTTTAGAGCTCCGATATATCTTTCCAACGAGATATAATACGCTCCAAACGAATAAACACACAGCAAGATATGAGTGTCACCAATACTTAGCCTTATCTCTATGATTTATTTGTGAATATATGGTTAATCTTTAACTTTTAATTAATGCATTGTAAATGAAGTTGGAACAATATCTTTAGAGCTCCGATCTATATTTCCAATGAGATATAATACGCTCCAAACGGATAAACACACAGCAAGATATGAGTGTCACAAATAATTAGCCTTATCTCTATTATTTAGCGTTTTCAGCGAAAATAGAGCACTTTTATCATAAATACAGTGTATTTTAGTAATTAGGAAATTATCCATTGATATTTTGAAACCAGAGCCTGAAGACAAGTTTGAGAACTCGGTAAGATGTTTCCAACGAGATATTAAACGCTTTCAACGGCACAAAATAGAGCAAGATATGATCGCATCAAATTCTACACGAGTTCGGAGAGAAATCAGAAACATTTGTGAATATATGGTTAATCTGTAACTTTTAATTAATGCATTGTAAATGAAGTTGGAACAATAGACTTAGAGCTCTGATCTATCTTTCTAACGAGATGTAATACGATCCAAACGGATAAACACACAGCAAGATATGAGTGTCACAAATACTTAGCCTTATCTCTATGATTTAGCGTTTTCAGCGAAAATAGAGCACTTTTAGCGTAAATACAGTGTATTTTAGTAATTAGGCAATCATCCCTTGATATTTTGAAACCAGCGCCTGAAGACATGTTTTAGAACTCGATAATATTTTTCCAGCGAGATATTGAACGCTTTCAACGGCACAAAACAGAGCAAGATATGATCGCATCAAATTCTACACGAGTTCGGAGTGAAATCAGAAACATTTGTGAATATATGGTTAATCTGTAACTTTTAATTAATGCGTTGTAAATGAAGTTGGAACAATAGCCTTAGATCTCTGATCTATCTTTCTAACGAGATGTAATACGCTCCAAACGGATAAACACACAGCAAGATATGAGTGTCACAAATACTTAGCCTTATCTCTATGATTTAGCGTTTTCAGCGAAAATAGAGCACTTTTAGCGTAAATACTGTGTATTTTAGTAATTAGGCAATCATCCCTTAATATTTTGAAACCAGCATCTGAAGACATGTTTTAGAACTCGATAATATCTTTCCAACGAGATATTAAACGCTTTCAACGGCACAAAATAGAGCAAGATATGATCGCATCAAATTCTACACGAGTTCGGAGTGAAATCAGAAACATTTGTAAATATATGGTTAATCTGTAACTTTGAATTAATGCATTGTAAATGAAGTTGGAACAATAGCTCTAGAGCTCCGATCTATCTTTCCAACGAGATATAATACGCTCCAAACGGATAAACACACAGCAAGATATGAGTGTCACAAATAATTAGCCTCATCTCTATGATTTACCGTTTTCAGCGAAAATAGAGCACTTTTAGCGTAAATACAGTGTATTTTAGTAATTATGCAATCATCCCTTGATATTTTGAAACCAGCGCCCGAAGACAAGTTTTAGAACTCGGTAAGATCTTTCCAACGGCATATTAAACGTTTTCAACGGCACAAAATAGAGCAAGATATGATCGCATCAAATTCTACAAGAATTCGGAGAGAAATCAGAAACATTTGTGAATATATGGTTAATCTGTAACTTTTAATTAATGGATTGTAAATGAAGTTCGAACAATAGCTTTATAGATCCGATCTATCTATCAAACGAGATATAATACGCTCCAAACGCATAAACGCACAGCAAGATATGAGTGTCACAAATACTTAGCCTTATCTCTATGATTGAGCGTTTTCAGCGAAAATAGAGGACTTTTAGCGCAAATACAGTGTATTTTAGTAATTAGGCAATCATCCCTTGATATTTTGAAACCCGAGCCCGAAACCAGCGCCACCGCCAGAATTCGGTTTTAGTGAGGGTTGAGAGCTCCTCTCTCCCAAATAGACCTCAACGGTCATATTTGGCTCCTTCACGCCGGAAACCACCCCTCCACCACCGTAAACCACCGCAAACTTCCTCTCCGAAGCTAGCATATCCTCCATATTACTTCTTCCATCTCTTGGTCGAGTAATATCTGGGATATCCTTGCTTCTTCTCCGCAAAATAACCCCAAAAAGCTGCGCATAAACACTATTCACTCAAGAAGGTCAACGCACGTATCTCCACTTCTCCTTGGCCGATTTTGGATTTGAGCATAGATTGAGGTCCGCCTTGGTGAGAGGATCAACCTTATCCATTTTATTTCATCATCGGCCTCGGCCTTACAACACCATACTGTTCACTCCCGACTCCATAGCTACGGTTCCTTAGCTCAAAATACACAAAAAAGGTACAAAGGTTCCCGTTTTAGAAGGGGTTGCTATTTTTAGCTTCCCCTTCCATGCTTTGAAGTTGTTTCCTTTTGATTCATCAAGCAACCATGCCTAAGTCTACTGTTAAAAAGAAGGAGCCCCTGGCCCCAACGAAGTCCTCTTCAAGACTCAAAGAAATCGCAAAAAACAAGCAAGTGGAAGAAGCCCTCTCGGCCATGGACCAAGTTAGCGATTCCGCACTACTACACAAGAGGCTTTTCACGTCGGTTGGTTTACACCTTTAACGTCGGTTTTAGTAGTGTCGTGTAAGTAGGAGACGTTATAGGTGTTTAGCTACCACGTCGATTCGATAACCGACGTTAAATGTTTTTAATATTTCCGAAAAGTTTATTTACAACGACGGTTTTTTAAGAAAACCGACGTGCAATATTTTTTTAAACGACGGTTATGTTAAACAAACCGACGTCCAATGTATTTTTAAAAAACACGGAATTTAATTATAACGACGGTTGTGGAACAAAACCGACGTGCAATGTATTTCTAAAAAAATTTTGTAACGACGGTTATCATTTAAAACCGACGTGAAATTCATTGTTTACAATTATGTAAATACTATCGTGGATATTTTTTTTTTAATAAATGACAATATCATGACCTGTTTTATCGAAATCAAACACCAGTACCAACATATTGAAATATGAGTGAACAAAACCATGACAAAATCACTGTACAAAAATAATAATATAGTGAATTCCAATGTCTAATGTATCATTCAAAACGTTCAAGTGCAACTAAACTCTCAAAGTATCATCCTAAACACCAAATTATGCAAGTGTCATACGACTCATACTGTCATCATAAACTACATTTGCACAACGCTTTACACCACATCCCTCTTATAACATCCAGATCTCCTTTTGTGTATTTATCATAAGGACCAAACACCTACAAAAACAATTAAAACATCAATTACAAATTTATTTCATTTACCTTGAAGATTTACATTCATGTATGATAAAATTACCTTGCTCATGGAGTCTTTATTTGTCTTGGAAGAGATGATGTCATACATGAATCTTAACACGTAATAACCACTTTCCACATTTCCCACTTGCATCGGACACTGTTTGAAGGAGATAAACCATTATTTGATAATTATGGTGTAATTGAAATAAGTTTAATGAGCATATATATAAGCTACTTACCGGACAAATAATCCATTTTGTAGTTTTGTACCGATTTGTAGAAGTTCTACCTTTGACTGCAGCTTCTTTGAATGACCTATAATTTATAGGATACATAAACTCTTCAAAAATTGGTTATAACTTTGAATTATTATTGCATGTGTTAAGTTGAAAAGTAGAAGAAAAAACTTTTTCTTGATTTATATTTTTCTCACGTGAGAAAATTATGAGTTGCAATATGTAATAGAGATGTGTCAAAAAATCTTGAATACCTGTACAATCAACACTAGAAAAATAAACTATCTCAAGAAACATCAAAATTATTCAACACTAAAATATGTAAATAATAAAGTGGGAAAAATAACTAGAACAAATAACTTACACTGCCACTATATGCTTTATATCCTTAGACGGTTGACCACCAATTGAATTAAACCAAAACGCCTCGTGCGTGTTTGGACAAATAACACACAATGTCCAATGGCAACTATGTCATCATAACAAATCATAAAAAAGAATGACAGTTCATGAACGGTAATATTTTTTTAACCATAAAAAATACTTATAGAACAGCCTATTAAGTGCATTTCATTTGCTTAAATGAAGAGACTTACCTTTCATAATATGGTGCAAGATAATACTGTTTACCTCCTTTCAGAATAACGCCACCAATAACGCCAGCAAGGTATTCACATTTGTCTTCATAAGTTGTCTTATGTTGAACCATGTTTGGGCATAAGAGACCAAACTTGTTACTTGCTTTCAAGTCAAAGTGTTGATGAAGATATCTATTAAAAAAACCATTTAACACACAAAATCAGCACTATCACAATTCACAAACAACACAACTCCCTTAATTAAGAATCAATAAATCAGAAATCTCTCAAACTACATGACCCCTTAATTAAGATTGAATCGCATAAGTAGCAATATCTCAAACAACACGACCCCTTAATTAAGATTCACAAAATCAACAAGGTTACGAACAACACAACCCCTTGATCAAGTATGTCATAAATGCTTCAACATTTAAGTCTTACTCATTAACTAAATAAAGATTATTTCACGTATTCAAAGTCATCTACAATTTCAAAGTAGATAAATGAAGTAAAAAAAAACTTACATGCAAAATAACATCATTGCACTTATATCAAGAGTTTCCATCTTAAGAAATCACACGATCTCCTCCCGATAAATATGGAATCCATATTGTTTACCAACAATGTCAACATCCATATTTATATCAATGAACTCATCGGCAGCTAATCCAATTGCCAATGTCTTAACCATATGAAACTCTCTAGACATGCCACTTACATCCACGGATGAAGGGCAGCTAGGATCCGGGGACAACGGGTTCAACAATTTTCCTTTTGATCTTCGTCGTTGTTGTACCTTGATGATTTCAAATTTAAGTACATGTAAACATATATAATAAAATTTAATATTACTAACTATTCAAAAAAGATAGATATACCACGTACCTCAATCTCAGTTCCCAATTCTACTAACTGCCTTGGCCAAGCAATAAATTGAGAAAGAGCATCATCTACTGTTTGAACCTCATCATTCGGGTAAGGTACATGTGCACCAGGAACAACGATTTTTTCAACAACAACACGCACATTATCATGAGATAGTGGTATATTGTGGAGCATTCCACCAGGCCTAAAGACTTTCCCGTATGCCACAACACGTTTAGTAGGATCATTCAGGTAGCATATACATTTTTCTCCTGTCTATATTTAGCAATTAAACATTAAGACAAGAATAACATATATAAAAAAATTATCATAATTAGTAGTAGTTGCATACCAAAGGCAACTCTTCAAACGGGTCTGGACAACTAGCTTTTCCACTTTTTGGAGGACCTGTATTAATTCCTACGGTCCGATCTGAATGAATGGACATAGGACTTGTGTTCCTTGACATCATAGTTTGCATCATTGCTTCCATTTTTGCCTCAAATGCTTTACTAACTCTGTACTCTGCTTCCGCAACCTCTCTTTTAACTATCTGTTGAACACTCTCTTCTGACACATATTTCTCATCAGATCTTGACTTTGGCCCAAAGTATTTAGTTATTGTAACTCCCCTTCCCACACCCCTAACACGACCAGGATGTTCCCTTTTCTCTAATGCTGCACTCAAAATATCATCCCTCCCAGACTCAGTGAATTCCCCCATGGATGCTTGTTGTTCAAGAACAACCTATGACAGTTTAATGAATATTAGTCAATACATTAGTATAATAATAATTTTAATAATAATAATAATAAATAATGATACATAAGATGAAGAAAAAGGAGAAACTTTATTTAAGTACTCACAATTTTTTCTGCAACGCTTCTACTTTCTTCTGTGGTAAACTTTCCATCTTTACCAACTCGACCTCCAGTCCATAATATATGTCTCGGAATGAAAGTGATAGGCATGCACACAAAAGATGGATCAGACATAGCAGCAAGTTCTTGTTCTTGTTGTTTTTTCTTTATGAGATCTTGCTCTAACTTGTAGTAACCTCCCCGAGACAATCGATGTGTGTACATATTTAAAGATTGTAGCTCTTTACCCTTCTCACTCAGTTTCTACAAAAATAAATAAACTATTAAGAAAAAATGCATATTCTAAAGTTATTTGACACAACATTAGATGTACATAAATAAACTATTAAGAAAAAATGCATATTCTAAACTTTATTTTAGTTACTGATTTACTGCCAACAATTCAATACATAGCCCTTATTAAAGTAGTATGTATATAACTTTATCTTCAGTATTAGTATATCAGGGAGATCCAGCATAATGAATTAGTGTAGTTTGAATGTGTGATATTTTAAACTTTAACTCAAGTACCTGAAACTCTGGATTGCGGCGAATTTCCACAAACTTAGCCCATTGCTCTTCAGTTATCCAATTATATATCTTTAGAGGGTCTTCATCTTGTTTCTTCCCATACACAAAGTCAGTAGTTAACATCGACTTGAAGTCTTTCCACGACTTATTGGCTATACTCATCATCTGCTGTCTAACATCCTTCGTTTTTGGGATCTCAAAAACAGACTACCATAAAAAACAATCATAGAATAAGTCAAAATTTTCATTTAATAAAAAATAAAACTTATTTCAGTGAGCAGTCATAAAACATGTAATATTATTTGAATATGATCACAAGTAAATGCAAAGGAAATATATACCACAATATCTTCCCAAATAAGATCCTTCGTGGGTTTTGAAACTCGCCTCCAATCAGAAATTGTGATATCTACTTTGCATCGTCCCAGTGATCCAACAAAACTGATTAGCTTGGATCTATTTGGCTCAATTGGCGTAGACCCAATAAACTTGACAAATATCTTATCAGGATTAGAGGCACGTCTTAGTAAACACTTCTTCATTACAGTGATACCTCTCTTTTTACTACTTTGCGGAGCTGTAGCATTTTCGTCTTCCTGGGAATCCATTTCCTTTACAAATATGTAACTGCTGCCAAAAAATTAGAAAGTTGACAACATCTATTAGGAAAAAATAGTTCATAAATATTTCACAACAACTGCTAGAAGATCTACACACACCTCTTATACTTCTTGATATGCTGCAATCAGAAGTTCATAAATAGCAAAAAATAAAATGTAATAGTAAATAGCAAAAGGAAAATGTAATAATAAATAGGACAACTAATGATAAACATCTATTTATAACAAATAAATAAATGTCAAAAACTCTATAAAGAACAATAACAAACTAATTAAAGAACGTAAGAAGAATGAGTATGTAGTAGCAAGAACTACTTTAAATTAAATGCTGAAAATAACTAAAGAAGAGTTTAAAGTTTTAACAATAAAGAATAGCTGAAAATTAATCCTCCCATAAGCCTTCTTGATGGTCATTTCGTATAGCATGCACTTCATCTGTCTCGCTTTCGGCGTTAACTGGTAATAAAATTGAAGAAAAAGGAGGAATCTCCTCCACATCAAAACTTCCATCTTCAACTGCATCTGCCATCATCTGCCTCTTGCCATGTAGGACAACAGACCACTTCTTATCACAGGGATCACTCACATAAAAAACTTGTTTTGCCTGAGATGTCATTATGAAACGCTCATCTTTATGACCTTCTCTACTGAGATCAACAAGCGTAAAACCAAACTCATCAATCTTCACACCATGTTTGCTATCAACCCATCTGCAGCGAAACACCGGCACCCTGAACTTTGTATAGTCCATGTTCCATATTTGTTCAATGACGCCATAATACGACATTTGTGCCAATACAGGGTTTTTATCTTTAGAACTACTAAAGTGCATCGCATTGGCAACCAAAGTGACCCCACTGTTCTGCATTGTACTACTTTCATCTTGTGTCTTTGTGTAAAATGAATATCCATTGCAGTCAAGTCCACCATAACATATCACCTCCATGTTAGGGCCACGAGCAAGGAAACGTATATCCCCACTAACATTATCATCGGTAAGAATTTTATTCTTGAACCAACTAATGAAAGAACGATTATGTTCATTTACAACCCACATGTTACTTTTTCGTTGATTGTTATGCCTTACTAGGTTCAAGTGCTCTTCTAAATAAGGCTCGACTTCACTCATATTGTGTAAAATATACAAATGTGCTTCCTCGATATCACCACGAGCCATAGTCACTACTTTGCCCCCCCGAGTTCCCGAGGCACATCTTTAAGGAAATTGACATATTATTGCCTCTAAATGTCATCTTTAGCATCAGATAAATTATGGTTGCCTCTAAATTTATATATTTTATGTAAATTGAGTCAACCATATTTGATGTGCCCCTAAAAAGTATTATTTGGGACAACATTATTGTGCCTGCCTCTAAAAGTTCGTTGCAAAAGTGTAATTGCCTCTAAAAAATTGCATCTAAATATAGACCCATTTGTAGAGACAACGTTTTCAGGCAATTATTATTTTGAGCCTCTAAAAGACAGTCTGTATATAACAATAACTCAAACAAGTTTACATTTAAAAATGTAACTGTATGGTAAACTAAGGCCGCAAATATCTTTTTGAATTTACTTTAAAAGAGGGTTTGAACTATTTTTATATAATTTGTCTTTAATTTATTAATAAAATACGGAGTATAATGTTATTTTTCACAACTCAGCCGATTCATCTAATTAACCACATCATGCAGAACTTATGATTTTTTTTACTTGGATTGAATTTTTCTGATATAGGGTTCGGTCTCCCTCTTCTCCTTCAAGCTTCATCATCTCCTCAAATCCTTATGAACAATATTATCAATAAATGATGTATTTCCCCCTATTGTATCTGTCACTAACAGAGTATAAATTCAGGAGATTTATTATAGTTCTAATATATAAATTTAAGCAAAGAATTAGGGCTTGCTTGACAGATTCTTTTTAGAAGGGGCCTTTTCAGCTGCAAAAGCATTTTGGTCATCCCAGTCACCCTCTTTCAATCTTTCTATTCTTAGAAAGATGACTAACCTTTTGCATCTTTTTCAGTTTCATTGATAGTTTGTTTAGTTTTTTTAACCTTGTGGTTTTGATTTTTTCTTTCCTGGAGTCACCAAAAATATGATACAATAATCGCTATCTCATCGAATGCAGTTTTGTAGAGAGAATTCAGACTTAGATCCATACACAAACAAGAAGTCAGCAAAGCTTCAATTAATCTGTAACCTGGTATTATCCATTATTATATTCATATGTCACTATAGAGTAAATTTGCTATCAATTGCCAGATCTTTTATAAATAAACTCTCCTATATGACGAAGAGACCATTTGCCCTCGTCCTTGGAAACTGTTTCTTATTCACTTTACTTTTACAACATTGATTTATTGAAAGACCTGATCATTTTTTAATTGCATATATTACACATTGTACCTACGATTCCATAACCAGCACATGCAACCTCAGAGCAATGGGAGTTGGCCCACCTTATTCTAGCTGTCTTAAGCCTATAGTTGCATAAGAGCTTTTAGTGTATGAATCACAGAAGGAAATATAAAGATCTAACTCTGATTAAAAGAAATAGCCCTTGTGAACTAACAGTAGTACAACTATACCAACCAGCATCTGCTAGCCTATAACTAACAGCTCGCAGCTAGTAGGTTGTGATTTGTGAACAGGTAACTCCAGAAACATCAATTAGTTATTAACATAAGAAGCCAGAAACAAAACATCAATATCAAACATCACGGAAAAATGAAATCAAGAAAGCATCCTAAAACAAGAGAAAGGGTTTATACTTCAGTTTCTAAAGCATAGATTCTTACCCCTCACACCCACACATGCTCCTTGGGGGAACTGTGCAAACATACAAATACAAATATTAACTATGGGGTCCTGAAGTGTGGATCAAAGTACTAGTAGACTTGGAGGGATGAGAGATTAACTAGGGGTCTTAAACTGGATTGTTCCCTTGACCATTAAAGTGTGTATGTAACCTAACACAACTAGCTCTTTACCAGTTGAAATAGCTCTTTACCAGTTGAAATGGAGCCATTGATATCATTAACAAAGCCACGCTTCAGAATTTTAAACAAAACCATTCATGTTCATAAGTCAATTGCGTGTAAGAACGAAAGAACCCGTAGCTGTGAGTTTTGTATATCTTATTTAAGAGAAGAGTTTTATAAAATAGTGCTTGACTTTGTTTCTTATGAAAACCTACCATTTTGAAAAAAATGAAAAGCTACTCTACAAAAACCCCTACTTGGGTGTTTCACCACCAGTTTTACTTTACCACTAAATAACTCATTAACAGATTTGTAGCTAGTAAAAGTATCATCCACAAAAAGTTCAAAATGCAAAGAATACATTTATCACATATTCATAGGTAAATAAAATAGAAATTAAAAAGTGTGGAAAATCAGTAGAACTAAAAAAATTAGAATATGAATATTTCAAATTCTACTTTCTAAAATTCATACCACAGACCAAATCAAAAGAAGTTACCTAAAAGGAATCAAAATATCTACAAAGAAAAATTAACATACTAAGAAAAGGCAAACTAAGCACCGGCCAATAATTTCAACTTGCCAAAGAAATTTCAAACATTGAACGTAATCCCTAAATTTAAAATGTTACGGAGTATGATATTAATGTACAATAAAAGGTATTCAACGAATTTAAACACATAAGGAGGGAATAAATACCAAGAGAGTAAGAAATCCTTCGGCTAGTAATCTAGAAGAAGGCTTTGATGGTGCAGACAACTGTTCGATAAAAGTTCGTAACTAATCTGGCCTCGGCAACTGTTTGGGCGGCGACGACCACAACACCAGGAATATATATTCTCTCTTTCGCTGAGGTATTAGCAGCAGAGAAAGAAAACTCTTCCGTCAAGGAACCACTCAGCTACCAGGATGCCAGTAGTAGAGTTTAGAGAAGAAGACCCTTGTTTAACAAAAGCACAGATTCAGGAGAGCAAGAATTTCATAGCGCCTGGAGAGGAGGAGCAGTTGAGCTCCGGAAAAATAAGAACGGTAGGCGGCAAAGAGTTCAATCGT